TCTGGAACAGGCACTGGAGCATGCAATCAGCTGGAGACAAGCTGAGACCTAAATTCATATTGAGTTAATGCCTGTGACACTGATATAGCACCAGAGAACACAGCTCCAAGGAGGAAATGAACCAGGAGTATCCCGTTGCTACAGAAGAACTCCTTAGCTTTGCTTTTGCTATTTGCCAATTCTTCCCCATGAGATTAAGTTTGAGAATAACTTCACTGTTGTGTTTCACTGAAATTCTCAGATAACTGTCAGACAGCAACTGCTTGTTTTTTGAAGCTGTGATGCAGAAAAACGAGTTTCAAATAATTCTTGCCTTTTTTAAAAAAGGGAATCCTTAGCCATTCTTTTGCTGAAATATTACTAGATACAAAATGAATAGTTGAGGTTGATACAAGGGAAGAGGGCGTAAAGACTATGAAGTACTGGTGGTGATATTATATAAAGGGAGACACAAATACGGTTATTTTGTTGTCAGTGTTGCATATGTTGAAGCTTTGTGTTTTGCTATAAGCTATAAACATGTGACTTTTCCCTTTTAATGTATGTTCAAGGGAGGGAGTGCTGGTTGCTTCAGAAGCAGAGGATTTTCCAGTTAGTCAGGACTTCAGTGTGAAGCCATGAAAAGCTCTGGGACTGGGTGTTGCAAAGGTGACTCTTTTCAGATCTAAAGAAGAGGGATCTTTAGCCTTCGTATGTGGTGGATGTCATGACAGCTGTAGACTCACAGTAATTCCAAGGGAATCTCGCCTGCTCTCTAGTGTTTTCCATGTTGCTGATACAAGTGCTTCTGTAGCTTTGCAATGGGCTGGAGAGTGAGGAATGTGGTTTTAAAACTGAACTTAAAGCATAAATTTAGTTTTGTTTCCTCTTCATGTGAACCAAGGAGAGGAGTAGCGGGAATGAATTAACAAGCGAAAGGTGAGATTGCTGCTTTTGGCAGCAGTGTGGGACCACACTGGTTCAGGGATGGTGAAAATACATTGTAAGCACAAACTGAATTTTGCTATGTGTAGAGTATGTACTACAGGATTCTACCAAATATGGGATCAGAATGTACTTACAGGGAAAGATTTATTCAAGTCTGACTCCACTTCTGGACCTTTATTGTTCAGTGAGCAAAGATGTGCTGTTTGACTCACTAAAGCTATGGAAACAACTGAACTGTAGCATCTTATCTGTTTATAGCCAAGTCTGTCATTTGGAATGGTTTTCATCCAAAAACAGTGAGGTGTGCTGTAGATCTCTTAGTAATAGACAAGGAAAGCAAAGTAAAATTATTTTTGTTTTTTGTCTGGGGGAAATATTACTGGTGAAAAACAGGAGTTGTTCAGTTTTAGTCTTTTGGGAGATAGTTTGCATAGGTATGCAGAAGTATTTAAGTTTATGATGGCTTGTATTTTGATAGCATTGTAAAAAAAGTCAGCTATATGCAGCACCTTCAATGTCAGCTAGTAGATACCTTAATTCCATAAATACCATAAAAGGATGATTTCCTTGAGTTGAAGTCAAACTTTCCAAGCTGCAGGTCAAGATTTAGAGCTCTTGTACCACATAACAGAACTGTCATTTACTCTTCACCACTGTCTAGGCTGGATTTATTTTAAAAAACAAAACCAAAATAACCATAAACCAAAAAAGCTTGTGTAACAAGCCTTCTAACAAATAGTTCAAAGCTGATCTCTGAAGTAGACAAGTCCTTGTAGTAGTACAAGTAGGACAAGACTTGTAGAAAGTAGGAACTTGCCTCAGTGGACTGTAGGAGAGAGCATGTGTGGTCTTGCTCTCCAGACAGCCCTGAATCCAGGCAGAGAAGAGGCTTTCATTACATATCCCAGCCATGGGAAAAGCTTAATTGGAGTTTGCAGCTCATTGTATACCAAACTCTTCAAGTGTTTGATGTAAATCTGTAGGAAACTGGCTTTGATAATTATGGTGCCCATAGCCCATGCCAGCACCACTCCCTTATTTGCAAGGAATAGTGCTATCAACTGAAATAATTATCCCAGGAGGTTTCATGATGCAGCTTGTCCCAGTATTGCTGTCACTGAGCATTTGGAAAAAGTACAGGGCTGCTCCTTCCACGTGTATTGGTCTGATGAACATCTGGGGAACTTCCAGAGTGCCCCTTGGATCTGTGTGTGGGCAGGGTGCTCTCAGAAATGATTGTTCTGTTGCTGTGAAATTGAGATTTTTCCTAGTTTGTTTATTAGTTGGAAACGTTTGTTCCAGGCTTTTTGGTGGGGTGAAGGAGAGTTCCAGCTGCAGGTTCTTTTGGTAAGACTGGCCTTGTGAAGCAGAAAGCTGTGTGGTCCCTAAGCTGATCCTGGAGCTCTTGGAAGAGAACAGAGAAGGGAAATGGCTCTCCTTTGTGAGAGGAAGCATTTGGTGATGGGGAATTTGTATCCTCAGTCCTTGTCCCTTCTCCATGTGTGATCCCATCCTGTTGCTGCTTGGAGGGAAGCACTTGTTGCTCGCCCAGGCACTGCTCAGTGGAGGAGTTGAGAGCCATGGAGAGGAGAGGGCAGGGCAGGTTTTGTTGTAGTTCCTGGTGCCTGTGCTTAGAAGAGCTGACCCAGCAAGGTGTGGGCAGCTATTCCTCCTGTTGGGTGCTGAATCCAGCTGTGTCCTGGAACAGCTTGAGAGACCTGACTTAGGAAAAATGAACACCTCTTCTGGCTGTGGAAAGAAGCAACTTCTCACACCCTCTTTTCCCCTTCTAAAACGTGTGCGTATCCCTAGGAATTGTCCCAGCTCTTTCTACTGCTGTTGGATCAAAAAATCAAACTTGCAGGTCCATAATTGAAGCATAACAAATCATAAAACTACCACTCAGTTCCTCCTGCCCTTTGTGGAAAGGAAATGTAGAAATGGGCACAAGGAAAACCTTCATGAAAATCTGTCAGTGCTAATCAGGATGAATGAGTTCAATGTTCACTTTCCTTGTATTTCCTTCCTATTTGAAGATTCCAAGAGATCTTTTAAGCTTGAACTTTTCTTTATTTATCTATTTTAACAGTAATTAAACCCCACAGAGACCTGTAATTAAATAGAGTGGCCTTTCCCAGTTAAAATTGTGTTCTGAAAATGAGGGGAAAAAACCCCCAAACAATAAAACCCCAATTGCCTGGTTTTAACTTCCAGTGGAACTACTTTAACTCATTACTGTTTAACAGTTACACAAGTATAAGCAAAATCAATTACAGGATATAAAGCTAGCAATGGTAATATATAGTAGTAATATATTATTTCTGAGGGAATTGTTACTTTTTTAGGTTTCCAGATAAAAATACTTGTAGAAAGAATGTTGTCTTCAACAAGTTAAAACTTGCTGGCATATTCCTGGTAATAGTGTCTTTGAAAGAAAGCATATGCATATACCCAGGGAGATTCAAGCGGGGAATCAAATAACTCCTATTTTAAGGGCTGGTATTTAAGCTGCATTTGGAACATTTTGATGTAGCTTTCTAGGGATTGATCTCTTGTGATGAGGATCCACAGGCTGCACTCCTCTGGAGTAGAGTTAATGAGAAATTTCCAAGGTGCAAGTAGGCCTGGCATGAAATAGTAGTGATTTACTCCTGTTGGTTTTGTGCTGTGTTTGGGAATCCCCTTTAACATTCCAGAAAGACACAGTGGTCTTCCCTATGAAAACGGGAGTGAGAGGAGAAGTTCAGCTGGAAGTCTCAACTTTTTATGTGGCTTTAGCATTGTGTATTAAATGTCCATTTTTTAAATGTCTGTGTTTTAAATCTAGAGCAGTGAGACTTGAGATAATTTTTATCTTAAATCTGTTCTTGCTTGTGCTCAGTCATTCAGCAGTCCTGCCTTTGGGATTCCTAGAAGGGTAGGAGGCTCTCCAAGTACATTCTCCTGTAACACAAATAGTTACATATATAGGATGTAATAATAATTTAAAAAAATATTCCGGGTTACTGCACTGCTGCCTCTTTCCTTTTCATATTCTTTTTCTGCCTGCAATATTAACCTGTAATCATAAAGACTGTAGGAGAGGGATAGTATAGAACAGACCTCACCAGTAAGACAGAGGAGATTTATCAGTGGAGTAGCATCTGCAGTTTCTTGGACAAAAGTCCAAGAAATCCTGAGAAAACCTGAAATCTCTGAGGATCAGGAATGGAAGAGTCAGTAAAGCCCTGAAAGCTCTTCCAGCTGAGAGCTGGCAGGAATCATGGTGAAAAGTCTCTACCTGACCTAAGTCTTGGGGATGAGGTGATGGTGAATTCCATGCTTGTGCACTGCAAAGAGATTTCCAGTTGATTCTCTTCCCTGGGGAAGGAGCTCTGTTCCCTTGAGGCTTCAGACTTCTCTGAATAATTAATCCATTGGGTCTGTGTCCTCAGGGAGAGATGAAAGAACTGTCGAGGGCTCCTGTGTTATACCTGATAAAGAAAGTCATTAGTGAGGCTTCACATAAATTAAAAAGACTTGCATCCCCTTTCCTTAATAATAGATGAAGCCTTTAGGATTAAAGTTTTTTTAAAAATAGAGGGGGACACAACTAGCAAAGCATTGTATGTGACTAAAATTCCTTTTCACATTTTACTTGCCCCTAAATTATTTTGGTTTTCCATGTTGCCCCTGTGCTTCCTCCATTCCTGCATGAGATGTGGGCAGACAGGTGGTAGGGTAAAAACATTGTAGAGCTCCTCATATTATGAAATTAAAATGAAGGTGTAGAGTTTGTTCTTCCAAATTCCTTTGATTCTAGATGTGAACAGGTGTTTCTGTGGCTGAAAAACTGAGCATTTCATTTGTAGTTAATTACCTTTAAATGAGAATAAAATTTCAACCATTGGTAGGTAAAGAATGTTTGAATGCTCAATTCAGGAAGCAAAACTTAGCCTGATGGTTACTTCTTTTTGTTTTCCCCCATGCATTTGATGATACCAAACTCTCTTGTGGCCAAATTACCTCTCTCTCCTTTGCTGGATTCCAAACTGGGACTGTTTTATGCTAAACTTTTTTTCCTTTATTTCCAGATATAATGGATCCCTCCCTAATGGAGACAGGGGGCGCAGGAAAAGCAGATTTGCCCTTTGTAAGCGATCGAAGGCAAGTGGCGTTAAACCCAGCACTGTTCATGTCATCTCTACTCCTCAAGCATCAAAGGTACGTGACCCTGGGCAAATCCTGGTTTTGGATCATCCTGTGTGGAGAACAGCTCAGGTATTGCTGCTGATTTACCTTGCTGTCAGTTTATTCTTTGCTTGTAGGATACTTTTGTTGTAATGGAGAGGCTGCAGTGGATTTGCTTTCTGGGGTATATAGCTTTAATCCAGTTACCTGTTTAAAATAGTCTGTAAACTCGGGTATGAGATAATCTGACCTTCCTGCCCTGGTCAGAAAGCTGGCTGTCAGTGCTGACTGTTTTATCTGAGCCATGGACTACACAGGGAATAAAAACAAGGGAAGTATTTTAGTTTCTTTCTCATTGGAGTGATATTTCTTTCCTCTTCAGGAAGATAACTGACATGCTATAAAAAATGTTCTGATCCCTTTGGGCCTTTCATTTTTCTGAAAAACGAAGGGCAGATTTTTTCAGACAAATTTTTGCCTGAAGTTTAGTGTAGGTGAAGGAGGAAAAGCAGCAAAGTTAATATATTAACATAGTAACATATTAATGTATAGGAGTGTCCAGGTCAGAATTCTGATGGTTGAATGTACTTCAGGCTGCAAAAGGTCTTCCTACCTCTCTTCACAAAGCCTTTTCTTAGAAGCAAGAAGTGAGTAGAGTTTATACTAAACTGAAGGGGGAGTTATGTGGTGGCACTCACACAAGAAGATGGTTTGTGTGAATTGTACCTCACTGAAATATCTTTTGGGGCAGAGAGAGACTGTACACTATGCTCAGAAACGTGTTGTCTGACTTGGACCAAGAGAAGAAAATGGGATTGTTTTCTTTTCCAATACACACCATACACAGTATATGCCTAAACTTACCAAAATACACAATATCAGAGCTTGTTCTCTTTGAACATTGTATAGGTGTTGCCTGCTGCAGATAAAGGAGTCTGTTGGATTAAAAGTTAGAGTAAATATTTTTCAGTGTTTCTATTACCAAAATGAAAGCTTTTGTGAGTTAAATCTTCCTGATGAAATCAACCTTCAAAACAGACCTGTAGTATATGTTGGTAATTCTAGTTTGTTGCTTAAAATGTAACAAATGGGGAAAAAATGTGTTTTACATAGTGGATGAAAATATAAACATCTTCCCACTGGATGATCTTAAGCATTTAGACTGCAGATAGTATTTCAGCATTTGAGTTGCAAAATATTTAAACACCTGGCAGACACCAGTAGGAACCTGGTTAATGTTCATCAGTGGTGTTATTGTAGTGCAGATAAAATATGTGTGCTGTACAAATTTGTGCCCTTATAAAGATAGCAGAGGGTCTGGGGCATTAAAGCCTTTCCTCTGAGCAGTTGGATTTGGGTAGATGTGTCAAGTTGAATGTATTTTGCACTTTCTCTGAACCCTTAGAAAAGAGCTTTTGTGTATTTGTGCTGCTGTCTGGGGCAGGGCTGGTGGATGTGTGCCAGAACAGTGGTGCAGTGGCTCTCAGTGAGTGCTCTTCCCATGCACAGAAAGGACACTTACATTTTAAAGATGCTGTCATCAGCTTTTCTCACATCTTGGGCACCAGAGCCTGAATTGTTTTACTGAGAATTGTTTCTGTGTGTAACTTGTGTAAATGACTGCAGAAACGTAGGCTAATAGAGTGAGCTGCTTAGTTCTTAGAAAATAATGGGCAACATGACCTCAAAAGTTTGGTTGTGCTCTCAGTCTTTCAGTCTTAACTCATATTTAAGAAGGATAAACCAGCAGAAACTTGTGCTGCCTAGGATCTTAACAAGTTTCCTCCCTTTACATCCTTCATTTTAACTTTACAGGTACCAAATTTATGTTTTGCTCTACTTATCTGTCACTGTAAATCTGTGAGTAAAAAGACAAGTCCTGTTGCTTTTTGGGTGGTGGATTTAGCAGAAGTCCTGCCTGCCTCCATTGATTTTACCTGACAAACAGAGGCTTCAGTAAGGTGCATGGCTGGTTTTGTGCTGATTGCATTAATGCAGCAGCTCAAGAACTGTAGCTGTCACCAATTTCAAGTTTGTGTGTCAGCCTGAACACTGCAATAAATGGGAAGAGGATGCTTGTCATGTTCCATTGTCCCTGCTGTGCAGGTGTCAAGGACAGCTGGAGTAGCAATGGCTTCAGTAGTAAATTTAGCTGAGCTAATTGCGTATGAATCACTGCCTTTTGTTTTTTCCACTGAGCACTTGTTTTTTGCTACTCTGCCTTCTGAGGTGCTGAAGAAAGTCCAGAAATGTTTGGCCTTCTGAGTGTATTTGGGTGTATTTAGGGGAAAAGTAGTGCATAGAATAGTAAGTCTCAAGTTTTTTTTCAGAGTTGTCATTGTTAAAATACAGAGGCATCTCTTCAGCATTATGCACTGGACTTTAAAACCTATTTTATTAACTCTGTGCTTAGGCACCATTCAGTAAATTGTGTGGCATCCCCTATTTGCCAAAAATCAGACCATTTGAGATGGACTTTTTCCAGCATTGTCCAAATTGGTTTGACTGCAAGAAAGAGCTTAAAACTCTACTGCTGTCCTAAGTTGTCTGTATGGACATGTCTGGGGTAGAGGTTTGGGGAATGAGGAAGTGAGTTTTCTTTAACTGAATATGGATATTTCTCAAGATTTTAATAATCCCCTTTGCTGAATTAGAGAGTTCAAAATCATCACATCACAGGAGAGATCATTCCTTGCCTCTTGACCTGGGTCTCGTGATGGAGAGGAAGGTTTATCAGTCACAATAACAGAATTTGGGAAAACCTTTCTCTGACTACCAAACTCCTAGGTGCAAATTCACTATTGGCTCTTCATAACCCAGGTAGGGTTGGTGATTTTTATTTTCAAGCTGCTGGAGCTGTTTAACAAAGTCAGAAGTCAGTTGTAATGTTCATTTCATTTTGTTGAGTTAACTGTTGTTTTCATGCACAATGTTTAATGCTATGAAACTCCAGTCAGTGTCTGCTGGTGTCTGGAATGATTACAGGGTTTTCTTGGGCAAAAAATTTCTAGTAAGTGCTGAACTTCAGGTGAGAGTGACATAAAAGGTTGTCTTTGGAATAATCACCTGGGAATGATGGGATGCTGAACTGGACTTCACTGGATTTTGGGAGGAATAGAGGAAGTTTTGATAAAGTTTTTTTGTATTTTGAGGGTTTGTGACATTTTTTTTTTTTGGTTTGTGATATTTGAGTCTAACAAGGAAAGAGGTGCCTGACTGAAAACAAAACTAGCTTAATATCACTGGAGTGATATTTGAGGACAGATCTTCTCTTACAGATCTTAAGCAGGTCAATAATATGCTGTCAGAACAAAACTGTATGATCCCAATTTCTGCAAAGCATGGATGTTCCTGTTCCAGTTCACATGGAGTCTCTTGATTCAGTGGATCACTCGGTTAACACTTTGTCCTGTACAAGCACAGGTAAAGCGTCACTCCTCATTGCTCCTCTCCATGACCATCCCTGGCTTCTTGCTGGATGTTGTTAGTTGGGATTCTTTGTGGAATTCCCATATGAGAGGCGTGCTGGCAGCTGGCATTAACACTGAGCTCACTGGTGTTACTGGAAACTCTGATCTTGGAATCCCCCGTGACTTTGGCTCTGCAAGCATTTAGATTTCTCTGTTGGCTTCTGATGCTTCAGAATTCTTCCCATGGGTGTGAAGTTTAGAGAAATGAAGGGGCTTCATGTACATTTGAATCACCTGAAGTACAGCATTAGGAAGCAGGAATTGTTGACAGTAGCCCTCCAGGATTCCCTAGGATTACTCTGGCAATATGACTGAATTCCCTTGTTACAGTGTGGATGGTAATTGAGACTTTCCAAAGTATTCAGTGGGCAAGAGAATATAACTGCTGAGCATTGGAAGTATTCCTGTTTAACAAGGGAATGCTGTGCTTTCCTGAGTGATTGCATGTATAATAGTGACTCCAGAAAAGATTCCAAATGCCTTTTGAATTGTTGAAGACTTGAAAAACCCCACATTTAATACCTTTCTATGGTGGTGTGTCTCGGTATTTATTATGTTTGTCTTTCTTAGGATCAAAGTTTTCCTTTGGTAACCTGTGCTAGATAAAGGCAGCCTATTTTCTGTCCCATGAAATGACTATTTCAAGCTGACTGAGGAAGATCTCTCTGACTTCCAAGTCCAATTACCTGCCGAGTTGGCTTCTGCTTTGTGCTATCACAACAGCAGCTTGGATAGTCACTGGCTGGGTTCCTGCAGCTCTAATCAAGTTTCCTGCTGCTGCTGGAGAAGAACAAAACACAGCCATACGAATAATTATTAGGTCGGGGAGAGAGCTGCAATTTGTGCTTTGAGTGACGAGAGAAAATGAAAGTATAGGATTCTTGTGATTAGTTATCTACTGTAGATATTGCATCTGCTTTGACGTACTTTGAATTGGGAGTAAAAAGGCCACAAATCCTTTTGGCACTGACAGCTTTTTGGTGTTCATTCTGAATGAGAGCTGTAGAGCTCAGCTGCTGTCAGGAGGATGCTGTATCTGACAGTGGCTTCTCTCTTTCCTGTTGGGCTTATTTATGGTCTGATCACTTCATGGAGCACTAATTTGTTCTGAAGTAACTTAATCACATAGGTGTCTTGAGAGCCCTGGCTTGTGCAGAGGCAGCTTTTTATTGGCTCATCAGACTGGGTCTGCTTGAATAATAGTTTCCTTGGTGTAATGTCCTTTTCTTCTATTAAATGAGCATCATCTTAACATGTTAACTCCCTACCCCTGTGCCCTGCAAATAACAGGGAATGGTTAGGCAGGAGAAAATGGTTACACCAATTTCACTGGTAGGGCTGAATAAATAACAGCCCTTACTTGAAGCTCCCTCCTGAGCTTTTGGGTCCTGTTGAGTAGAATGCATGTCAAAGGTTTTGGAAAATCATTTTATAGTGTTTTCTAACAAAACCCAGATGTTTAGAGAAGGAAAGGGAATTAAAAATTGCTGAGGTCTACAACAATTATTTTTTTATGACTTAATGTTGCTTTTTGTTTTTGTGCTCTCCCTTCAGAGGATAAAA